ACGACTTAATAGTTATTTCCTCTCACACTCTGAATAGTTCACCTGCAAGGTGATTTTTATTTTGAGTGCAAAAATAGTTTTTTTATCATATAGTTTTCACATTTCATTTGCATTATCTCTAGAACCTTATAAATGAATATCAAAAGTTTTTTTTTAAGGTAAATGTTTATATTTTATTTTCTCTACTGTATCACTAACTCTATTATCAACATACAGTGCAATGAAATGTTAAAACTTAAGAAATGGAAATATATATGAACCTTTCAACTCTTCATAGAAATTCACTTGAATAATTTTCTTTGTGCCATGTGCGTAATTTAGTATGGCTATCTTTTCACTTTTTAATTTTCGTTTTAAATTCTGTATTTTTCATTATTTATGACAGTACATCAATTGATGAAGTTATATCAGCAAACCTTGCACAAAGATGTGTTGAAAAAACAAATTGATGCTTACAATACCCTCTGTGTTTATAAACTTTCACAATCCAGGCAACAACAAGTTAGATTTATAAAAATCATTAAACCTTTCCAAATATGCATTTTAAAACACAAATAATACATAATTAATTAAAATATAAAAGTAAAACCTAAATACAATTAAACTATCTATCAGACTAATACACATAAGGTCAGAAACACTTGCCAAGCACCACGTACCCCTTGAGAGAACAGTGGACTTAGCTTCATTTCATTCTGTTTAAAAACAAAAGGGTACAGCTATTGAAATTCAAGAGCATAACCCGCTCTTTCTATTGGTTATAAGCATGCCATTCAACTTAAAACTGTTGCTTAGCAATCATGCTTCAACTTTGCAAGTGGGTGTGACTTATCTTAAACTAAAGAAAAACAGTTTCCTAGGGGGAGAAATTCATGGAAGGTCTCCACATGGTAATAAAATATATGTGTATGATGGACTTCGACTGTCTGAAATAACAGTCTATATTAGCTATTCACAGCTTCTTGTATAAGAGCTTTTATAAGTTGAGAATTGTAGCTGTAAGCAGATCACATGACAACAAAAACTGCAGTTTTAATTTCTGTTTTAGATTTTTCCTTTTCAAATAAAGGAATAAAACATAGATAATATAAAACTTTAAATTAGAGTGTACTTGATAATAATAACTTCATTAAAATACATTAGTTGTAAAGTGGTTTAATTAAATTTTGAATGTAATGCGGTACTAGTGCAGAAAGGAATTTAAAAAGGGCACCAGAGGTTGTTGGGTTAATAGCCTCCTGTATTTTCAAAATTATTATTGCATAGTCCAGTTAGTTTTGCTCTGACAATTTTCAACGTGCTTTGTTCTTTCATATTCCACTAGTTTTGTTTTAACAGTTCTAGGCATGCTTTGTAGTTCTTGCGCAATCCAACTAGTTTTGTTCTGAAAGTGCTAGGCACACTTTGTATTTCTTGCACAGTCCAACTAGTTTTACTGTGACAGTAAGCATACTTTGTTTTTACACTGTACAACTAGTTTTACTGTGACAGTAAGCATACCTTGTACTTCTTGGACAGTCCGATTACTTTCACTCTTACAGTGCTAGGCATCCTTTGTAGTTCTCGAGAGAGCATGGTTTTACTTCAGTTTATAATGATTGCTGGGCCAGACAGATCATGTGAGCTGTGTGGTTTCTTTAATACTTTAATATACGAGTCCACCTTATTTTGTGTTGACAATTAAATATCATGATCATACATGATTGATTGAATACTTATTTCAGCAAGATTATTAATTTGTTAATGAATAATTTAAGCTCATAATAAACAGAAGGTATTAATTTTGAAAGAAATTAGGTCTTATTTATTTTCAGATATTGAGGTTTGAAGCTTACAAGAAGTATTCCTTATAAATGGTGTTACGTATTGGAATTTCAAATGGTCTGAAATTGAGTTAAATGATATCTTAAATTTAGTAGTTAAATTATATTTTGGATATAGTAGTTAAGTAAAAGCCGATATATAGTCAATTTTGATATTTGCCAACAAGATCGATACACATAGTTTTCTTTTTTAACACAAATATGTTTTAATATACACACCACAGTACAATTTACAATAGCAATTATTACAAACAACGGTTTATAAACAAAAGTTTCACAAACTTACAAACAATATAAAGTCTTCTTTCTTGTCTGGAACTTCCTTTATTTTATTGAGGGCTCACGATGAGTGAGTTGATATGGGTACAATTCACTTAGTAGGGAGCTAGCTAGCCCTGTAGTCTTCACTGTTCATACGGCTATTAGAGATTGAGTTTCCACCAATGACATTAGGTAATGTTTTTTTAAAGATATTAATATCCGATGTGAATCCACTGAAGTTAAATGATTTGTAATGTTTGAACTTTGTAAGGGTTCCTGGTCAAATATCTGAAGTTTTCTGATTGATGAGCATTATAATAATCAGTTATAGCTGCCGAACTTTATAGTACACTGACTATAACAAACTACTAATAGATACTCCTCTTTGGCACACATCTCGTTGGTTATATTTATAGGTGAGTGGAGGCATTCTAGAAATTTCAGTTTTATGTAACAATACATATTTAAGCATTTACGTACACACGTATATTGTTGATTCTTACTCTCGAGAATCTTCTACAACTTTGGAGAATAGGCGGGAGTTTCGCAATACATATTTAACAGTGTCAGTTATGTATGTGTCTAAATATAAATTTAATCTGAACAAACGTTGATATAATAACAAATTTGTTA